CTATTTTTAACAAAATGAACATTGTTTTGAATTTCTTTAATTGTGTTATATTACATTTAGTATTTAAAATTCAATGTTCTCAGTATTTTCTGAGAATATTTAAAAATGTTTATAACTATAAATTATTGAAAAATGTTCTCTATTTGAGAACATTTAACAAATTTTTTTAATATTAAAAAATTTTTACCTTTTTAATAGTGAGAACATCAAAAAATTTTGTGAACATTAAAAATTCAAAAAATGCTTTTCTGAAAATATAAAAATTTGAATTTTAAACACTGATTACATCTGATCTTTAAATTTAATTAGCTTTTATAGAATGTAGTTATAATAGCTATGGCTACAATATATTACTCCTTAAAAAAATATATTAAAAGTTTACCCAATAATAAAATATTAATACTTCTTCAATTACAATAATAAGGAAACTAAGATAGTATTTTTTGGTATAACTAATTACTGTATATTAAATATATATTATACATCAAATTAAAATTTGCATCAGATTAAAATTAAATGCAGAGTTTTTTTGGATTAGAGTTGATATCTATGTTGAGTATTAGTGGACTTATGATGATTTTAATCTAATATATACCAATATATAGGTTATTGTTAAGTAAAAAAAATAGAATTGCTAAAATAAAAAATATACTGTATATATTTTAAAATTATTTAATCAATTTTATAAATAAAAAAATTATTATCTAATCAAGTAGTTGCTGTAATATTTTTAATTAAAGTTAAAAAATTGTAAAATAATAAATAATAAAATCAAATAATACAAATAACATAATTCTATATTCAAATAGCAATTTTTTATTTTAAAAGCAATATACTTTTATAGTCTATAACATTATTATAAGTTAATTATATTAGAATTTTAACTACTGTAGATACGAATAATAATGATAGTAAATTTTATCTACTGTCAACTATCGATATAACGAAAATCTAGGCTGATCAAAAGGTTCCGTTATATGGCATATTCATTATATATTTATAACGGAATAGGCATGACAAATATTAAATCCGTTAAAGACCTAATTTGAGCCAGACTTTTTTAAAAGCCGTTGGTAAGATTGCAGTTATAGAACTGTGTTCTGATTGGTCATCAGCTGATACATTATATTAAGTTCGCTATATAATAAAATTAGTAAACGGATTAGCATAGCTTTTTTACTATTGAAACCGTTACGGATATAGCCGTTTGAAATTTTTTATTAAAATTAACTTAGTCCGTTAAATTGGTGGATTCGGTCCGTTATATCGATAGCTGACAGTATACTTTTAATTAAATATTGGTCTGAAAATTTGAATTCTAATAATTTTAAACTTATTTATAAGGGTTTTAGGCAATGTTTAAAATTCGATATTCTTAGTTTTTATAATATTAAAAAATTTTTGTTTATAATACTGATAGTATTAAGATCATAAAATCAAATTTGATTTTAAAGACTGGTTTTAAGTGATTCGATATTTAAAATCTAAAGTTTTCAAAAAAATCTGGATTTTATTGTGTCAAATGTTACGCATACTTTACAAGAATTACTAAGGTTTTCCACATATTAAATTGAATTTACTGGAAAAATGTTGTATACTACAATTCGTAGAAGGCATTATTGATTTTGCGAAATATTCTGATTGTCAATATTTTTCTGTTATCGTGCAAACTTTTATGATTATAGATTTTTTTTGTATGTTATTACGTAAGCACAGCAATCCTGAATAAACTCAGTTAGCATAATTGCGCGATAACTTCGATATTTGATCATGGATGATAAATATCACAAAATTTATTCTGTCAGAGCTCCGAAAAACAATTTAATAATATTACTATATTTAGTCACTTTTTGCTGCGATGGACCCCAGATTCTGCCTGCTTTACATTTCGATTTATGCGAAATTATGTGATAGATTTTTTTCGAATTGTGCTGCAAATTATGCGATTCAGGTATCACCCGGGCTGTAAACTTACCATAATCTCGTAACCTACTAGATAAATTACTATGCCTCCGAAAATCTCCGACAACCATGCTCGTGGTTCCGATATTCCTATATTTTAATACCGGCAGATTATGCTCTATTGATTATGCAAAAAATAGCCCCAATATGCGAAATATGCTTCTGCGATAAAATCAGATTTATGCGCAGATTATGCTATCGCTGGCCCTACACGTCTTCCCCAGTATCGGCACCAAAATTCTACGGATACGTGATCGCGCCAAAAAATCTTTTAAGTTCGTTTAGGATAGAGTTAGGGTCTATGTTAAGGTTATAATTTTAGTGTTCTAAGAGTAAAATCATTCAAGAAAAATTTTTTGTTAATGCACGAAAGGTGGGTTCCTATGCAGATTTTTTTTTGATAAAACGAACGTTTGTTTTGAACTTCCTGATCGTGTTATGTTACGCCTGATCTTGAAATCTGATTGGTTTGCGCCATAAAAATATCACGTGTCGGTAGAATTTTGGTGGCGGCAATCACTAGTTATCACATGACTTTCCTTGAAGTCATCACAATTGAATCGTGACAACAGTAAAGACTCGTCGCGGTTGTAATTCGCAAATTTTTTATTATGAAATTAATAAAATATACGAGCTGAATTGTTGCGCATTATTTCGAAACGTGCTGGGCGTTATTTAAAACCAAACTAAACTATTTTTATGATGTACGTACGATTTTCAAATTACGCCCATCCGTTATATAGATGATTTACAAAGAAACAATAGTTGTTTCTAGTATTATAAGGCGCAATTGCACTTTACCAGCATTAGAAACAATTGCTTACTGGAAATCGGAAAGGTAGGATTCTGAGCGCCGAAGGAGTGTTTTTTTTTTTCATTTATAAAAACAGTTACATTCATAATGATCATCAGGAGTTTCAAACATTTTATCATCCTTTCGTCTAAAAAATGCATGATAGCACGTGAAAATCTGTAGATGAAGGAATATCGATATGAACATATTAATCATTTGACCTTTTCCTTTAAAGCAGTGCTAATATTGTAGGTCAGTCATTAGACATCGTTCAGTCGCTAAAGTTTAGCATTAAATAGGAATGTATACACATATTGAAAACACCGAATTCCGACATGTAATAAATGACTATTTTTACATATTCCAAAGAAGTTTACCAAGTATATTAAAGATAAACTTAATTGATACCATTCAAAATGCACGAATTCAACTATAATATTGGACCATTTATGCTGAAGATGTTTTGTGTTACGGAGCCCATCTAATCTAAACTTGGCGAACATGTCATCTTAAAAACTAATTACATTTTTATAAAGTAAAGAGGCTTTCGTTAAGTTTTAATTACATAAAGAGCGTGGGTATTTTTTATGCCTCTTGTCGTTCACTTATCCGATAAATAATGAATAATAATGAGCGAAAGGAAGAATTTGTTACTTTCAACATGCACAATATGTATTTCTTTATTGGCAGGTGCATAATTCAGTTAGGAGGTGTGCATGTGGCTACTATAGTTGGTAAAAACAAATCATGATAATATGAACATTTCTATTGTCGGAACGGATTTTAGCGAGACCAATTACCGGTTGAGAATTCTTGGCTGGACCCTGCATGAATTGATCAAATAAATCAGATGCTTATCACTTTTGTTATTGGCATTTAAGATGAATTCGGAAATTTTCCCACAGTGCATTGGGTGTAACCGACATGATTGCATAGTATGTCTCAGTATCGATGCAATCTCACTCGAAAAAAAGACCAATATCTAGGATCATCTATCAAAAAGTTGTCATATATGATTAGTAATTATTAATCGAGAAAAAAAAATTTTTTTTCATCCATTAAGAATTTGAAGATTTCTCGCATTATCGATCAATTGGCTAAATTCAATTCCAAATGATAGAGATAAGTTAGATAAATCCTTTGTCTTTTTATTGAACAATTCAGGAAAAACGGTTACCTATCAGTATAAACATTTGGAAATAATGCAATGTAACTACGATTCTTTCCGCATTTAATCAAGTCATATACTTTGGTTATGTCATATCGGCATGTGAAGGAAAACCCGGATGTTATTATATAAACAGCCTCCGCTAACCGTTTTCTCGTTTTCTACATAGATATAGTTATATATCTTGAAAAAAAACTTCAATACTTTGAAACCTAATATTCTGAAACTTTTAATTTTTTAAAAGAAAAATCTTTTTCTTATAAAAAAAAGGAATTCTTTTTTGTTAGGGAATTCTTTTTTTTTTTCTTTTTTTAAAGAATCATTTTCTATAAATTTAAATCTTTTTTTTTTTTAATTGTGTTTAATTATCTTTTTGATAATAAACAATAAATATCGACTGAGTAACTACCTATTCGTCGAACACAGCAAAAATGAACCAAATTTTGAGCAAAAGTCAACCTATCGAAATTACCAACGAAAAAATTCAACCTGACAAACCTACGGTATTTACCAATCTCGCAAACATTTCAACCGCATTTGCCGACTCTATACTACTATTCCTCGGTTTACGGCCTTCCGAAAATGATGATCGCACGACACCACCTACATCGTCAATCATGATGCGTTATGGCCTGAATCCTCAGACGATGGCCTACGTTCAGTTTAAAAGCACTCGTCTGAAAGGCTTTAACGGCGTTTTGACATTTTTTCAACAACCAAATGGTTCAACTGTTGTTTACGGAAAGTGGAATGGCTTAAAGGATCTGAACCCTATGAATTATGAATTTGTAATTTATAAAAACGGGGTAATGCAGCGTGACATGACTATCAATATACGTAGAGATATCGAAATTGAAGGTAGTTCGGCCTTCTTGTTAACCACTTTTGGCTCTCTACCACTTTCTGGAATCGATCAAATAATTGGTGGCCACCTACATATTTCAAATTGCGGGAAGGTTATTGCAAAATCAGAAATCTGTAAAATTTGATAAACATTGTACTTTTTTTTCTTCAGGAAAAAAAAGTTTAATTATTTGGTTTCTTTTTTGGTTGGGATTTAATAGATTGTACAATATTTTATAGATTTTTATTTTGCAACCCTTTTTTTTACCTTTTTCAAATTATGAATTTGACGATAGAAAAAAAAATTAAGATTTTTCCTCTTCGACTTTCGCATTAAAGGCTCTTAACTAGATGATTAATCCTCTTTTGCAAAGTCTTAATTATCTTTTACCACACTTTATAATATAAAAAAAATTTTACATAAACCTCCTATTTATTTTATTATACCTAAAAAGTAAAGCTTTACTACCATACAGAAAAAAATATAGATATATGTAAATATTCCCAAAAAGAAAAATGGCAAAGACCACTCTTAAAATTATAGATAATTATTACTCACCTACCTAACTATCCATAAATCAAAATGTTTGGTTCTAACTTGCCTCTGCTTTGAAATCCGAAATTCTAATCTATATATATATGCTACTGTTTTAACATTTCATTATATATATATATGGTTTTTCCTGTGTGTATATATGACTTTTGTAGATTATAAAAATTTTTTACTTTTATATGTACATATAAAATAAGACAAAACAAATAAAAAGAAAACAGTACTGATTTTTTTTAAACATTGAGTAAATTTCAAAAATGTCCTTATGCGGGATGATTCAGAATAAATGCTCACACTTACAGTAATTGATTAATAAAATTCTTATCATCCCATCAAATTCTAATTAACCGTTTTTAAAAATAAATTAGCCGTATTAAGGTTGGGTTCGGGTAAGGCGATAGTTAAGACTTTCTGCCCCAGAATTTTCAAGGAAATTTTTTGTTATGACGAAAAAGGAGTATCGTAGACGGAATTTTGGGTTAGAAGTGACTTTTTTTAAAAAATCTTAATTGGTTTATAATCTAGTTAACGTTAATCGATAAGGCCGTTTGTGGTTGATTTTTCGTTTAACGTTATTCCCCTCCATCTCCTGAGCCCCCCCTCAAATTAAACAAATAGAAGTAATACCGATAAATTGATCGATATAAGGTCAGCATCTTAGTTTAATGGGTGTTTGTTTGTCATTAGCGTTAGCAAGTACATTAAAAAATTATTTTACGATAAAAATAATGACAATTCCAATATAATATCCATAATTTTTGTCCAGGACTTACTGTTCAGACCTCTGTCACGGGTGCCCCTGTAAAAACTAGATATTTAATTTACCTGGGTATTTTGTATTATTCATAAACATGAAAATTAAAGCACCCAGAAAATGTGTACCAGGTTGGGATCGGATGATCATTCGGATGATAGTTCGGATTATGGTCCGGAAATTAATTCTTCTAACGATTAGACTTAATTAAACAACGATTATATG